ATTCAGTTCCGGATCATGTAATCATATTTCTGGGTCGTAAGCTCTGTTTTACTCATGAACGTCCTCTCTTTTCGTTTATGTCTTTATTGCAAGAATCCAGAGAGGATCTGCAATATATATTTCACATACCGGAGAAGGAAATCAGGTTGGCTGATAACTGTACTAGAAGGAAGTGTCTACAAATTATTTTTCAAATGAGAAGATCAATTTTTTTTAATATTTACTGCATACTTCGAGTCATGACATTACTCTCCTTGAGAAAATCGTTATTAATGATGTTAATTCTTTATACTCTTTGAGAGATTGTAATCAACTATTAGGTTGAGTTATCAGACGAAGAGAAAATAGATTTGAGTTATCAGATAACAGGTCGAGGGAGGAAGAGAGAACAGGAGAAGAGAAGATCCTAACGCTCTAAAACCAATTTGTGAGTAAGAAAAGAATTTAGAAAATGATAAAATTAAAATCTAGATATAAGAAAGAGTAAAGAAGATTAAGAGAAAAGAGGAATTGCTTATTTTAATTCAAGTTCTTTTGGTAACGATATGCAATTCTTACCTCCTTCCTTCTAATATTTATAATAATTCACTTTCGGAGAGTTCGATTACTATCATAACAAAAAACAAAAAAATAATAAGAAAACTCTACAACTAATCACAATGTTTATTCATAATTCTAAAATGTCCTTTAATCAGCTGGAACTTCATATGCTTATTCTTGCTTTCTGCCATTCAGCTGTTTCCTTCTTCTCTCCTCTAATTCTTAATTCGAGTCCCTGACACCCTTCTTTTTCGATGAGTGTCATCCTCATGCAAAAATCATTTTAATTTTCTTTGCATGGTTCCAGCTTCACCAGATGTCCCCAGAGAGACAACACTTCATAGCAAATTTATTGTAACAAATATCCCATCGTGAATATACAACCAGTTGGCCAGAAATTAGGTATCGTAATTCTCGGACTACTGTTTCTCAAGCAAGCTCTCAGTCTAAATTGCATACGCCCAAGTGTTTCAACTTCTGTTGAACAGATTCTTATTTCATCGTATCTAGAGCTTTGCAAGTGCAATGGCAGGCAAGTTGAACCTAGCAGGAAGTTTAAGATCTTCCCAGCCACCTTCATTTACCCTAGAGAAATATTGATCAACAAAGGTGTCACTGACAAGCTCCAGCTTAGAAGGCTCCCACTTGAAACGGAAAGACAACAGAAAAGGTTAGTGTTTAGCCATATCTTGAAAGATACTTCAAAAGATAACCAGGAAGTTCAACCACCTTTGGGTTCTTATCCTTATCCACCAGAATAGCTCTGCAGCCCTGCATCAGAAAGGCATGTTACAAAAAACAAAAAGATAGAAGATACTAGAATAACATATATTTGGATAGCAACATACCTCAATGAAATCCTTGCTAAGTTTTCCTCGCATAACATGACAAACCATTCTATACTCCCGAACAAGGCATTGACCAACACCTTGGAGCCTTCCTTCTCTAATCTGAAATTTTATGGGGAAGTTATGAAAAGATATATATATATATATATCTTGTATTTTTGGATTGTTTCAGTTAGCAATATATTTTTGGTTGAAACAATTCCATCTTTACTTTATGCATCTTCCAAATAGGACCTTCGGTAAAGATCGAACATTAATGTTATTAACACGTTGTTAACACATGTCCTTAAAACATTATTCTCCAAATTTGTGTTATTCTCCATAATTTCCCTTATTTCCCTGAAGTTACTTACATCTTCAAGTCTTCCTCGCTTTTCCTTTTTTTTTTTTTTAATTTTTCTTATGCTTTCGAAAGAAAACAGAAGACAATGATAGTTGACTTTATCTTAACTCAAACTTTGAGATGACAGATATCAGATGACTTCGTTACCTATCTCACCGATTTATAAGAAGTTGGCCTAACGAGATTTATAACATTAGAGTTATTATCGAACAAGAGTACTAACTTGGAGAATAATGGCATGATTTAACAAAGATGGTAGTGGAGAGTGATAGCCAAAGCTTTATAACAAGTTAACCAATGACAGAGGGAAGTTCATAGCTCTAGTAGACCTATTATTGCTATATGTTAAGCATCTCCTTCCCATATGTAATATGATGTAGAACGAACAAAGAAAAATAAACGTTTATGAAGTTTTACACTAAAAGGAATAGAACTAATTTCCCTTTCTAGTATATATAAAAGTTTCATAAAGTTTTACAATAAATGAAAATGAGAAATTTTAAATTTTTTTCTTAGTTCTTTCTACTTGCTTATTTTTGTGTTTGCTGTTATTTCTAGATTTCCTATTTTAGTTATATTTTGGTTCCTATAAATAAGATACTACAACTTAGTTATTAAACAGACTATTCATGATTATTATTCAATATTGAGACATTGTTTTGATTATTTGAAATATGAGATCTCTAAATCTTGATTTTCAATAAATTTTCTCTAAGTTTTATTCTCAAACTCTTTTTGTTTTATATCAGTTGGTATCAAAGACTAAAATCAATAAATTGCATTTTCTATTTCTCAATACAACCTTGTTTTGAAAGAGAAAAACCCCTAATTCCTAAATTAACCGTCAGCAAAAACAGGAGAGCAACGTCACAGCATCATCCCTATGCAACCTCTGAACACACGGAGGTGGTCGATGCTGTGGATTCCATTGTATACAGAGAGCTCCTATCAATTTCTCCACCAAATTTCAGCCCTCATCGTCATATGAAATTGCAGCACTCTCCACTTGAAGGTCTTCTTGGTGCTACTTTGCCACCAAAACCAAGATTAATATTTCAAATTGACTAGACTAATTTATTCCTTTAACATACAAGACCCTTGGTTGTCACTATCATTGTTGTACCTTTATCTTTAAAAGAAAAGTCATCATACAGCCTAACCCCACATTATACTACTTTTCTTAGCCTTCCCTTATCTTTTAACCCAAAAAAGAAATTCTTGATTCTTATCATACATTCTTAAGCAGCTTATAGCATTATTACTTTAAGCATTGTAGCTTTCTTAGTAATTGTCGGATCCCTTCGACATTAGGTCTGATCTGAAGGAAGAAGAAATAAGAAAGAAGACGAAAAGACAGAAAGGAGAGTCAATAGAGGAGAAGATTGAAGATAATTCTTATTATTGATCTTCGATCACACAAATGCAAAGAAGAATACAGTATTTATTGATGTCGTGACAGAGATGATCGGCGAAGTGGGCGGGATTGGCCAGATTTGATGCGGCAACGACGGTCTCAGGACCTCTTCGGATGGCGGGATCTCCTCTGATTTAGGGTTTAATGTGGTCAAACCCTACCCTAATTTTTCGGAGTGACTCTTTTGCCCTTCTACATGTGTTTTTTCCTTTTTACCCTTAATATTATGACAATACGCTCTCCTTGAACATCAACCTTGTCATCAAGGTTGAGTTATTGAATCTTTTCTCTGAGAGTCCCTTCCGTAACAATTTTCTCCATGGTCATTATTGTTTTGTTTGCGTAACAATGTCCTGGGAAGTACTGGTCTTCACACTTGCAGCAAGCAACTGTTGTTCTTCTATGTTCTGTATCCTTTCCCGCGGCTTGGATCGGTTGGTCATAATTTCTCGTTTTAGATCCTTCCAAAGATTTGACAACCTTGCCAGTGAAATATGAACTTTGAAAATTTTCCATAACAGATTGTTCCTGAAGCAAGACTTGTTCAAGGGCTTCATTAAGTGTGCACAGCTAAAGTAGCCTTATCATCGATTGGAGTTCTGGCTTGAGTTCATTGATGAAACTGGATATAAAGAATCTCTCTGAGAGCATGAGGTTACCTGCAATCATGAGATAGCATAAGTGTTCAAATTGTTCTTGATAATCTAGAACAGTAACTGTTTGAGATAATTTGGTGAACTCCTCTATAAAATCCTTTCGTGATGGTTCCCCAAATCTACAGTAAAATTTTTCTACAAAATACTCTCATCTATAACATCAAATTTGATTTGCCACCCATAGTACCATATATCGGCCACTTCTCTCAAATATAATGATGCAATTTCTACCTTATGCTTGCTACGAGTGTTGTGGTTGATGAAAATTTTTTCACATCTTCAAACCCATTCACGGGGATTATTCCTTCGAAAAGCTGAATTTCCACCTTGGGAGGTGAAAAAAGTTGGGTGGAGCCAGTGCAATTCATAGGGTTCATTGGCCCGGTTCGACTGGACCAATTCGAGTCAAACCGGGTCGGGTCGATTTGGGCTGGTTCAAACTGGGTCGGGTCAAGTCGAGCCAATCCACTCCATCTCCTCTTCTTGTCCGATTTGGTCCAGTGAACCGAACCTACATAAGGGTGAAAACCCTGGATAGCGCGTATCGTTCGGGAGGGGAAGCAAACCCCTTCCTTGCATGATCCAGTAGGCGACTTCAACCGTTTATTAGCTGGGGTCCAGGATTTGGACCTGTTTGTGCCGCTCGGGAAGGGAAGCAGATTTCCCACTCTTGCACATCCACTAACAACTTTTGCCTTCTGCCCGCATATCCAATCCACGATGGCATTCAACTGTTGGCTGAATTCCTTCCTCATTTCATCTACCTCTTCCATACATGAGGTAAATTTATGATCAATGTCCTTCACAGTGCGTTTGGATGTTTCACAATTCTCTAGTTCAGCCACCATCGCGACCTTTCCTTTCGACCGAGTGCAGGTTGCGACTCCGGAGAAGGATTCGGCCAGTTCTTACTCTGTTACCAACTTGTCAAATCCCTTCGACATTGGGTCTGATGTGAAGGAAGAAGAAATAGGAAAGAAGAAGAAAAGAAAGAAAGGAGAGCCGACAGAGGAGAAGAAGATTGAAGATAATTTTTATTATTGATTTTCAATAATACAAATGCATAAAAGAATACATTATTTATAGATTTCGTGACAAAGATGATTGGCGAAGTGGGCGGAATTGGCCAGATTCAATGCAGCAATGATGTCTCAGGACCTCTTCTGATTGTGAGATCTTTTCTGATTTAGGGTTTAATGTGGTTAAATCCTAACCCAAATTTCTGGGAGTGATTCTTTTGCTTTTCTACATATGTTTTTTTCATTTTTACCCTTAGTATCCTGACAGTAACTTTCTCTTTGTCACTATTGCCTCTTCAAACTACCTTTTGATTTTTATCATATTTACACTATAGTGGCACTCCCTTGATGCCTATAGCAATATATTATTTACACTTCTTTTTTCAAAAAAATAGTTACATTATTGCAAAAGAATCTAATCATACTGAGACCTCATAATTAGTTGTGATGGAATTAAGCAATAAATTTAGTTAAGTATTTAAAAAACGCAAATTCACAATTGATCAAAATCTTGAATTCTCTCTTAAATCACGCAAGATGCAAGAACATTTTTCTATGCATGCTAATTTCTCTTCCCATGAGACTAAACAAATGAGTGAACCCTCATAGTTTGAAAAAGACCCTTGCAATGACCATCTTCTGTATGAATCAGTCCCTAATGACGATGAAATCAATAATCTTGGGATTAGTCTAGACATTCTTACCAATCAAGGCAATCTCATCATGATTTTAGGAGGAAAAACAATGATAGATAATCTAGATATAAAGCTGAGACTCTTTCCAACATTATTAAGCAAGTCAAGGTAGATGTTGCTAGCTACGATGATAAACTAGATCCTGATGTCTTCCTAGATTGGCCAGTTAGCATGGAAGACTATTTTGAGCAGTATTAGATGATTCTCATGTTCCCGAAACCAGAATCTTCTCACTAGGTGGTTCTCTAGAATTTCTTGTTTCAAAATCTGCTTTTTCTCCTTATTGCATTTTCTTAAGTGACTTACTATTCTGCTGCTAACTTGGACCTTGTCAGAGAGAGTTCAAATCTCATAGTTTAAGACAATATTCTGATTTATTTTTATTAATAGCAAGCATACTCTTTTCTATAAAGG